CCTTCCCTTCCCTTCCCTTCCCTTCCCTTCCCTTCCCTCTGCTCGGTGCCAGCACGGGAGCTCATGGCCGGTGTCCCACAGCGTGACATTCCTGTGACACTCCTGTGACATTCCTGTGACACTCCTGTGACATTCCTGTGACACTCCTGTGACATTCCCATGTCACTCCCGTGTCACTCCCGTGTCATTCCCATGACATTCCCGTGTCATTCCCGTGTCACTCCCGTGTCATTCCCGTGCCGTTCCCATGTCATTCCCATGTCACTCCCGTGTCACTCCCGTGTCACTCCCGTGTCATTCCCATGACATTCCCATGACATTCCCATTACATTCCCGTGTCACTCCCGTGTCATTCCCGTATCACTCCCATGACATTCCCGTGTCACTCCCATGACATTCCCGTGTCATTCCCATGACATTCCCGTGTCACTCCCGTGTCGCTCCCGTGTCATTCCCGTGTCACTCCCGTGTCACTCCCATGTCACTCCCGTGTCATTCCCGTGCCGTTCCCGTGTCATTCCCGTGTCACTCCCGTGTCACTCCCGTGTCGCTCCCGTGTCACTCCCGTGTCATTCCCGTGTCATTCCCGTGTCTCCCTGCAAGCCCCGCTCCTGGCGGCGGCCGCACATCTGTTCCAGCTGTGGCCGCTCGGTGCCGCGTTGCTGTCCCGCTCCGGGCAGGAATTGCCGGGGCTCCGCTCTCAGCTCCGTGTTCCTCGCCCGCAGGGTCGCGCTCCGGGCTCGCCCGGCCCCATGATGAGCTCGCCCAGCCGCCGCAGCGCCCGGAGCCGCGAGCCCGATGGGGCTGATCCAGGAGCCGGCACAGGGACAGCCCGAGCCTGAGAGCGGCCGCGGGGATGAAGCTCCCGGAGAGGAGGAGGAGCCGCCGCAGCGGAGCCGCCAAGCCGAGATCCCCTCCTGGCAAGTGATTTTCTCCTCCCCGATCCCTTCCCCAGGGAGGGAGGGCTGGGCACGGCTCGGGGGGGATGGAGGGTCCCTGCTCCCAGCCCCGGGAGCGCGGACAAACCCCGAGCATCCCCCGGGAGGGCAAAGGGACCCTGGGCAGGAGCCAAAGGTGGGTCCCAAGCGAGCCGGCCCCTCCTTTCCCTCTGCCTCGTGCCTGGGAAGTCCGAGCGGAATTTTGGAAGCCCTGCTAGCCTTGGAAATTGATTTTTTGAATTTTTTTTTTCATTCCTTTTCTTTCTTCACCATTTTGAGAAATGGCTTGACTCCCAGTGCCGTGGGGCTGTGGGGACTCGCAGCAGACCATCTGTCTCAGCTGTTAACAGCCATTCATTCTCTCGCATTTTTTGCTACTTTTGAGACACTTTGGGGAAAAAAAAATACGTTCTGGATGGCATTGGAGGAGTTCAAAGTCACTAACATATTTTTCTCGGAGAAACAATGTGCTGTGAATGCAGTTGTTGTAAAAGAAATACGTTTTCATTGGCTTTCTAAACGGGGAATTTGTCTGGTGTGGCCGTGCAGGAGGACACGGTGTTTATCTCCTTTTCACCATGTGTTTGGCTCATACCTGCACTGCAATGCACGGACTGAGGCTTTTTCTGGGCTGAACCTATTGCAGAAAGGTTTTCATTTACAAAAACACGGTGAGATTTTCTCTTAAGCCGTTTCTGGGCCCAAGCACTCTGTGGTTAACCCAGCCGGGCTTTCTGCAGCCCTCCTGCTCAGGCCCTGGGAGATTCCTCCCTCCTGGGACAGGCTGATGTTCTCCTGGGGTGCTGGCTGGAGAGCTGGGGGATCCCTAAATGGCAGAACAAACCCATCCTGCTGTCCCTGTCCCCCCAGGCTGGGCACAGCGACCCTCCTGTGCTCCTGGGGCAGCTCCTGCACAGGGCACGGCCCCTCCAGGGCACCCAGAGCCTCAGCCCAGCTCTGTCCCCACCTGCCCAACATCACCAGGGCCTGGGCTGCCCCTCTGGGCTTCACCCCAAAGCCCCTCTGGAGTTCTCCCCGTGCTTCATGGAAAGTTTAAATGCAACAGAAAAAAACATCCTTGAGTTTAGCATGGAGAGCCAGGACAAGGGGAAATGGTTTTAAGTGCCAGAGGACAGGGCTGGATGGGATTTTGGGCAGGAATTGTTCCCTGGCAGGGTGGGCAGGCCCTGGCACAGGTGCCCAGAGCAGCTGGGGCTGCCCCTGGATCCCTGGCAGTGCCCAAGGCCAGGCTGGACACTGGGGCTGGAGCTCCTGGGACAGGGGAAGGGGTCCCTGCCATGGGTGGCACTGGGTGGGCTCTGAGGTCCTTCCAGCCCAACCCATCCTGGGATTCCCCAATTCCATGATTTAAGGAAATGGAAAGGGAGGGTGCAGAGGTGGGGAGGGGGTGGCAGCTCCTCCAGGGGATGCCAAGCCCTTTGTGCCACCACGTGGGGTGGAGATGGCAGAGCAGAGAGCTCCAGGCTCGTGGCTGGGCAGCTTTGGGTCGGTGTCAGGAGGGAAAACACGGCCAGGAGCCCCCTGGGGAAGGCAGAGCAGGAGAGCCCTGCCCTGCTGGTGACACCTGGAGCTCTTCCAGCCTCCATTAGTGAGCCAGCTGCAGCTCCCTGGAGCTCCAGACTGGCCTGGAAAGGCTCCCTGGAGCTGCCCAAGGAGCCCTGGGGGTGGCCCAGGGTGGCAAACCCCAAATTCCTCTGTGGGGCAAAGCAGGGTCCCCAGGATGTGCCCTGGGGGCTCAGCTCAGCTTTGGATGATCCCACATCCCAGGGATGCTCTGGATCCTGGCCTTTCCCAGGACATCCCTGGCTCTGTTCCTGAGCAGGGGCTGTGCCTGAGGAAGGTGCAGTAATTCACATCTGGAGCCTTGGAGACGTTTGGGGCCAGTGTGGTTTTCATTTGAGGCCTTTCCGTTCTCCATTGACTTAATTAAATTTAAAAAAAAGAAAAACCAAGAAGAAAAGCAGCAGGCAGGATTGGGTGCTTTTCCCCCCCTTTTTTTTCTGATCAGATCCTGGCTCGGAGTGCTACGGAGCCAATTTTCATTTTGAAATATCCTTTCATTTTAAAGCTCCCCACAAGAATTTGGAGCTGCAAACCGAAATGAGGAGGTGTCAGACTCCACAAACCAACCCAGCCCCAAACCCATTCATTGACTCAAAATCATCTTCTGTTTTGTCAATTTTCTGGGGGAAAAATTAACTTTTTTTTTTTTTTGTCAGATAAAATCATTGTTTTTTTGTTTTTGTTTTCTTAAGTAACAGAATTAAGCAGGAGTACTCCTCATGGTTTGCTGCAGTGGAGAGAAATGGGGGTTGGCTGCTGGCTGCTCTCCCCCTTTGCCCTTCCTGCTGCCAGGCTGTGCCACGGGACAGAATTTCTGGGCCGTGGATGGGGATTTGCAGGTTTGATGAGCTGAGCTCCTGGGGCTCCCATTTGTTCCTCATGGCCCAACATGTGTTGGTTTTCCCTTCATCCATCCTCCTCCTCCTCCCCCCAGGAGCTCAGAGCTGCCCTGAGGCACAGCCTGGATTTCCCTGCCTGCTCCCAGGTCAGTGAGGAAAGGGAAGGAGGTTTGTTCCCAGCAGGAAATTTCCCATTAACACCCCAGACACCAAAGTCTCAATGGAGCTCTTCCCTCAGAACCGGCTCAGATGCCTCTCCCTGATGGGAAGTCTAAAAATAAGCACATTCTCCACAAACAGCTTAAAGATGTTGAAAATGAAAAGCAACAAAGGCTGGAGAATGGATGAGTCACTAAATTACAGGGCTGTCTTTCGAAGAGCAAAACAAAACTCACAGAGCCCCCCCAGGCCCGGCTGCTGGAATTCTCTGGGGTTTTAGGGCTGGCCTGGGGCTCTCTGCCCTTTGCTCCTGGAGGCTCAGACCTTGCCCAGCTCTCCTGGCCCGTGTGCCAGAGCTGCTGGCAGTGAGGAGAGCAAAGCCAGGCTGCTCAGAGCGCCTCTCCCAAAAGCTGGGAGCTCTTTGGGATAACCCCTCTCACGAGCTCCCGGGATGAGACACCTCCCTGCACGGGCTGTAAGCAAAAATTCCTGTGCACAGAGGCCCCAAGGATGCCCCAGGTGTTGGGAATCCCAGCTGGGAAAAGTCTCGGTGGGTGTCACACTGTCCCTGCCTTTAGCTGGGTGAGATAACACAATTAAAGGGGATTTTCCCCCTCCCTCAAGGTCTCCTCCAGCCAGCTGAAGGATGGACTGGGTGGACTCTGTTGAAAAGCTGCAGGGTTTTTAGCGTTTGCAGAAGAGCTTGAATGGAACTGCTGGCATTGAGGCAGCAGGAAGGGGCTGGGCTGGTGCCAGAGCTGTGCCTACAGCTGATGTGTGCAGCCAGCCCCGGCTCTGGGAGAGGCTGGGATGAGCCCTTGGATCCGGAGATCCAGGAGGGGCTGGAGGTGCCAGCCCTGCTGCTGGGGGTGTGGGCTGTTCCTTTCTGCCCAGGAGGAATCCCAGATGATCTGGGCTGGAAGGGACATTAAAGCCCCTCCAGTGCCACCCCTGCCCTGGGAACACCTTCCCCTGTCCCAGGTGCTCCAATCCTCATCCAGCCTGGCCTTGGGCGTTCCAGGGATGCAGGAGCAGCCCCAGCTGTGCCAGGACCTGCCCACCCTCACATCACCCCCAGCACCCTCATCCCTCCTCTCTGTGGCTGCAGGAGGGGACAAGGGCAGCCTGGCCCGTGTCCCCTGCCCGCTGCGGCACCGCTGGCTCGCTCCCGGCCCAAAGAACCCTTTGATCCATAAATCCATAGCCTGAGCTGGCAGCTCCAATAAAAGCTGTGCCCAAGGATCATCAATCCTGGAGCAGAGCTCGCCCAGCAGTGATTTAATCTCAATATTCCCTTCTGAAATGTGCTAATTGAACTCCAGGAGAAAGCATCCAGTGCAGAAGCGAGGTGGAAGAAAAGGAAAAATAAAAGTTTCTCCTGGAATAATTAAGCAGCATTAAAACATGGAAATCCAGGCTAGGGAGCAATTGTGCTCCTTGCACCAAATGTTTCATCAGAAATAATGGGGTGGAATGAAGCAAGAGCGAAAGTGAGGGATGTGAGTTGGAAAACCTCTCCCACCCCTGGGAGCCGTGGGGCTGGGAAAGGCTCCGAGCCCTCCCTGAGAGGGACAGTGGGTGCTGCCCAGGACAGCCCAAATTGGAGTGGGCAGAGCCCGTCCCAGCTCTCTGGGGAGTGAAGGATTGCAAACCTCCCCCTCCAAGGGCCTTCCCCATTTCCTGGGGTTTTCATTCCAGAGGCTCTTCAGGCTCTGGAGTGACCAGTCTGAACTTCAACAAAGAAAAAGGGAAAAGAGCCACGGCCTGCTCTTCTTGATGAGGTTCTCCACAATCTGGAGATATTCTGGAGCTATTTAGGGATTAATGAGGACTCGGTCCTTTCACCATTTTTAATGATAAATATATAGGCCTAATGAATTTTCCAGCTACTGTTCTCAGCCATGAAGGTTGGAAGCTTTTTGGTTAATGTTTTCCAAGCTGAAGGAAAGGAAATCAGCTAAAGGCAGGGAATAACTTTCCCAGATTCCAGGTTTGCCCCCATTTACTCACATAGGCAGTCCAGATGGAGACGAGGGAGCTGCAGGTGAAAGTTTTCTCATGGATCAAGGGGAAAAAAATGGAAATGAAAAGTAAAAGGGCGAGGAGATTGATCTGCTTCTCAAGCTGGTGGAACAACGTTTGGTGCCATCACTCACCTTCCACCACTGGTGCTGAGGGCTTTGCTCCTGGAGCAGGGATTGTCTCCTCACTGAACACAGGAGTGCCAAAAATGCCATAAAATGGTGAAAGTGTGGGATGCAGCCCAGCCCTGATGGCTCATAAGGGACTTAGAGCATGGCTGAATTCCTGAATCTCTGTCCAGGCAGTGGGAGAGGGATGCAGAAATCCCCCCTGGGGCAGGATGGCTGAGCTGGTGGAACAAGGAGAATTAAATGTTCA